GGTCCGTACTCTAGCATCTCTCCCAGCTCTTCTCTGACCCTGACCCAAGATCTCCTTGCATGTCAGACAGAGAATTTGCCGTTCCCTTATGCACGGAGCCAAATACCACTGCTCTCCTGCCTGCACACAAAGTGGGAAGGCAGGCTTTAGAGGAGAGGGGCAACTCTCAGGCCAGCGAGTGTTCTCTACAAGAGGTGGTCAGGCCCCCTCAAGGATGCTGAGTAGGAAAGGGCTTCCTCAGAACTCGCAATTCATACTGCACAGGAAGCCACCCAAGTTCACCCCATCTCACACACCAGGCTGGCTCTCCTGCTGTTCCAGTCCCCCTCCCCAGAGCCCAAGGCCACTGTCAACTCTGCTTCCACCTAGACAGCTCTGCACAAATATTTACATAGTTCTTCTGGGGCTTCGGAGACACCACACACAGGAGCAGGAGGCACCCTCCCGATACTGTCCAGGCCCAGGGGCTCTGAAGAGACAGCATCCTTCTGTCCTCACAGACCGGAAGCCCCTAGCAGCCCAATGCAGCCCACCATGGGGCATCTGGAAGAAAAGTCTCAGTAGAGACAGAAAGCTGGAGGCAGGCCCTACCAGAAATTACCACCTGCCCCAGGCTCCAGGCTCCGCCAGATCCTGACCAGGATGACAAGCATATCTGTGCTTCCAAGAAGTGAGCATACCTTTGATCCTAGCAGAGGCAGGTGAATCGCTTTTGAGAGGCCAGCCTGACTTACGCAGTGACAGCTAGGACTGAATAGAAAGTAAAACAAAAAGAGGCAGGTAAACACTCCAAGGCTTTGTCCCTGTGGAAAAAGCCCTAAATTTAAGCCTTTGGCCCCTCCCAGGAAGGATCCAGGCTAGTTCCCATGCAGAGTACAGAAACAGCTAGGCACTGACCTCTGAACTCTGCCTTCCCCTCAAAACCTCCCCCTTCACAGAAAGCATCTTTTCACCAACTCAGACACCACATGATTGGGGGTTGGGGGTGAGGAAAGTGTCTGATAGAGGAGGGTCACAGCAGGGGAAGAGCAGGACCTCTGGTTTCAGTGACCAGGAAAGGCAGGGAAGAGAGAAAACCAGGCCTAAGGACCTGGGTTATAGGGGTAGTGGAATGCCCAGAGGTTGGTGACTGGTACCATCAGAGCCTGCTTGAGTACCTGGAAAACCAGAGTGTGAGTCAGGATTCAGCAGTATAGCAAATGTGGAGACACAGCACACTGGGGAGCTGGCCTGGACCGAAGGTCCCAACCCATCCCCCTCAGTCACAGCATCAGCTGTAGCAGTGGGGACCCTCTGACCTTGTTGCCATGGCAACTGGCCTGCAGCTGGAGTGAAAAAGCCAATAGACTCTTCTCCAGAGACATCCCCCATCTCCACCCACACACAGGCTCCTGGGGACACAGGGACACAGAGACAGGGACAGGACAGTCAGAGGTATGGTAAGACAGATAAAGCCTTTCAGACTAATGCCTGGGGAATTGGGGATGAGTAAACAGGACAGAGGAGATAGGGAAAGAAGCAAGAAGGCTCCATGGTGCTGAAGGAACAGAAGAAATAGACAAAATGGGAAGGAGGCAAAAATGGAAGGGCCAGGGCCAGGCAGGCAGGTCAGAGACCAAGGCAGGGGAGGCTTGAGCATGGAGAGGGAGAAATGCCAAGAGGACGGGGCACAGTAGGCAGGCAGGGCACAGCAGTGGGTTGGGGAGGCAGCAGAGAGGTGGGAACAAAGAGCAAAGACAACAGAAGGGACAGGGAGAAAACCACATCTCCCCTACCCCCACTATGGCAGTGTAGGGCAAGGTGTGTCCTCAGCCAGCACCTGCTGTCTGAGGCGCTTCCCCAGAAATGTCACATCCTGCCAGACCTGCACTACAAGGTTCCGTTCACAATTCCACTCTGACCCTGGGCCTGACCTAAGGGGCATCAGTAAAAGGCCAGTGAACTGGGCACACTATGTCTCCTCTCCACCCACACTCCCACAGTCTAGCTTCCCCACCTCCCAGCAGACCCAGCAACTAAATAATGGGGCTGTCTGGCTCCAGACCCTGAGACTGCACAGAGCTGAGTTAGAGGCTCCGACACAGCACAGCTGTCCTTAGCGGCGCCTGCCAGCAAAAGGCCCTACCTCCTCCCCAGCCATTCCCCCTCCCTGGGGCTGCAGCCCAAGGACCTACTCCCCCAGGGTTGGCCCAGGCAGACACTCTGAGAAAGGCTTGGACAAAAACAGGGGTTGGCATTGGCATTGGCACACTTCTCCTCTGACTTTGTACATACTCCACGCATCAGTACACACACACACACACACACACACACACACACACACACAAAGGAAGCCCAGGTCAGGCAAGAAGGATAGCATGAGGGACTTTGTATCTTTGTATCACAAGACAGAGGGCAGAGAGGCTGAATAATCTGTCTGCATTTTACCCTCAGCTCAGAATGCCAAGGTAAGTGGGTCCCCAGGTAGATGAGGGCCTGGGCCAACCTGTTGGCCACTGGGAGTTATCTGATCCCCATGGAAACTAGGTGAGAACAAAAAAGGGGCAGAAGGCAGCAGCTGGCATAGGGTTTCCTGGGTCACTGCCCCCATTTGGAGTAGTAACCTGGAGGAGGCAAGAGCATGGGCTAGCACAGAGACTTGGATTCTAGGCCCCTTTCCCCCAAGGATACACTGGTCATGGGACCTCCACCACGAGACTTCACCTGTTCCCCAAATGGCTGGATCAGGGGACCTTCAACATCCCTTGACAGCTCCTCTGCAAGAGTCTCCCAAAGCAGTCAGCATGGGCCAAAAAGCTCTGTGCTACTTGAGAAGGCTATATCTAGGCTATAGCCAAAAGCAAAATCAGCCCCACCTCTCTGCTGCCAAGGGATCAAATCCTCAAACACAGCAATGTCCATCAAGGGATTAGAGTGTGCTCACAGTGGAAGACCCTGTACTGTGAGCATTTTCTCAAAAGTTCAACACTCTTGCTAAGCCTAGTGATGCAGGCTTATCTTACCAGTTACCTTGGAGGCCCACCCGGGCTACCAGGTGAGTTCAAGGCCAGCCTCAACAACTTACTGAGCTACTATCTCAAAACAAACAAATTTAGGTCCAGGTGTGGTGGTGCACACCTTTAACCCCAGCACTTCGGAGGCAGAGGCTGGCGGATCACAGTGAGTCAATGCCAGCTCTATCTACACAGTGAGACCCTGGCAAAAGACAAAAAGAAGGAGAGGGAGAGCTAGCTAGCACTGCCAAGATGATCGGCAGGTACAGGTGCTTCTCACACAAACCTGGCAACCTGAGTTTGATCCCTGGAACTCATATAAAGGTTGGAGGAGAGAATCGACTCCATGAAATTGTGCTTCAAACACACATACGGTACACTCATCGCCATCACACACACAACTCTGGCTTTCATCCCTAGTTCTGAAGAGAGAGAGAGAAAAAGAGAAAGGGAGAAAGCCCAGCATCCCAAGTAAGCACTGAAATAAATTTGTGGAAATCAGTCAATTAGGCTGGTGGGGGATTTCCCACATTACACCTGACCCCAGGACTTAGGTGTTCACATGCATAAACCTGTGGTTTGGAAACTTAAGTTTTCCCTGTGTGGAGTCCTCTAGTTCTCTGGTGTCATTGTCAGTCCACGACACACAGTAGAACAGTGTGACATGGCTCTGGTCAGACAGACATGAACCCCACTTCAAGCGCTGATGCTTTCGATCTGTGTGACTAAGGAGCCGTCTTAATTTCTCTGAACTTCAATTTCATCATCCTTAGAAAGAGATTAAAAGTGGCATCTGCATCTCATGTGTTCTATGAGGATTACACAAGATAACACATATCCCAGTACCTGTAAGCTTCCTGCTACTTCATCCCCTTCCTGCCTGCTAGCCAGAACCCCAATTTGCACAAGCAAACTCCCCCTATGTGCTATCCAAGGACATCACGGGCTACACACCTGTAAAGAAAGCCCCTTAAGGATGCCAACCTTCACAGGCAGCCTCAGACACCATGGAACATGCACAGCCGAGACATGGGGCTTGATGCTCCCATTTGCCACAAGAGGCAGGGTGGGCTCACTGTGAATAGCCAACAAGCTCCCTGAGAGCACGAACATTGCCTTTACTGTAGGCAACTCTGTGTTCAAGAGCTCAGCTCTGAGCTGGGTTTCCAGGATTGTAGTGAAACTTATGAAATACTCACTGATGAGAAGCCGAACTCTGGAACACCTTCCCAGCCCTCCAATACCCACTATCCCACCACTTCTCTGACCTCCTGACTGAGCAGAGCCCACCCAGCAGCACAGGCCTAGTATGAGAGCAGCTCCACCCACTGTGTTTATCCGCTTTCTACTTTGCTCTCCGGATGCGCAGAGCAGCTGGGTGGGGAGGTGGTGGCTGAGCAAAGACACCTGGCCACGAGGGAGTTGAGGGGCGGGGCGGGGTGTTCTGCAAACGAGACAAAGGGAATGGAGGTTGTGGGAAGAAGTGTGATTGAAGTGCAGAAGAGAAAGGAAGGCGGGAGGAGAGTGACAGCAGATACAAACCCCTCCGCTTCACCCTCTGTGACATCTTTCAGGAAGTCACCTGGCTCAGACTGACCTACAGGTAGCTAGAATTCAGTGGTTGGGAATCAGCGCCAGCCACCAGCTATTACCACCAGCTACGCACGCAGCTACTATCTCTGCCTGGGCAAATGCCAGCCTACCTAGCTCAACATAATGACATCTGCCAAATAGTTAAGTACGGAAGGTGCCAGGGCCCCTCACTCTTAGCAGCTCCAAGGCCAACCGGAAAGCCAACCCACCAGATTTGAGACCTAGGCCACACCCGCCCCGAGACACAGGGCCACGCCCCCGCCTGGGCCCCGCCCCCACGGAACACGCACACTTCACCAGCCTCCCGCAACCACATATCCCACCCCACTGTTCCCCCCCACACACACACCCACACCCACGCTCATTCTCTCGAGGCCCGGCCCCTCGCCATAGCCACGCCCCGGCCCCGCCTACCATCTTTCCGGTAGAAGGCTATCTCCACTTTGCGCTCCTCAGCGCCCAGCAGGGCCTGCGCGATCTGCGCGGCGGCACGGCGCTGCGTGCGCGGCCCGTGCAGGAAGTCGCAGGTGCAGGGCCGCTGCATCACCTCGGCCCGCGAGTATCCGCACAGCTCGCAGAAGCCGTCGTTGCAGTAGATGACGGCGCAGTTCTCTACGCGGGCGTTAGCGATGATGAACTTGCGGCCTGGGAGGGGGGGGGAGGCAGGGATGTGCACGTGAGCGGGGACACCAGTCTCGGGGGCTCCCGGCCCTTCCTCACATTCGCTCGTAACATACTCTGTCCGACACTCGTCCGCACCAGGGAGGGGGCGCCCAACCCCGGCCGAACGCAGCTGTGCCCAGACACAGGTGCCTCAACCGGGCGCGGCCTAGCGACACGCCCCCCCAACCCCCGGCCCGGCCGGCTGGCTGCGTGGCTTTCCCCGGGCAGAGAGCCAGCGGCCAAGGCCGGCCTGGGCGGGTGTCAGCAACGCGTGTCAGCAGCCGCGGCGGAGGGATAAACACAGCCTGGAAAGGGAGCATGGGAAGGGCAGGAGATGGCGGCCAGCCTCCCCTTCGCACCAGCTTCTCTGGCTTCTTCCTCTTGAGAGGAGACTGTCCCTAGAAAATAAGTCCCTCGAGTACCTACCCCCAGACTCCCTCCGGTCAGTGCCTACTGTGACTTCCACACCTTATCCACAGGCGGTTGGATGCTGAGGAGTGGGTGAGCCAAAGGATGAGGGAGTGAACTAGAAGACCTGGACAACCCACCGGGCAGTTGTTAATATCGTCATCTTATGGATGACCTCAAGAGAAGTTCAGCCCAATGCCCAAATCAGGCAGCTCATTCACAGTAAAACCAGCTTTTGAATCTTGTCTGGCAGGACAGCTGGGAGTCACAGTCAGAAATCCAAGGTCATACAGAGCAAGGAAAGCAAGCTGCAGTTTCACACCCCAGAGCCTGCAACTCCCTAGAGCCCAGAGGTGGGTCCAAGACACTGGCCCACTGTGAGAAAACAACCCTGGGAAAGATGACAACCTCTAGGGATAGACCCCGTCAGAAGAAGGAAGTCCGACAGACCCATTGCGTCTAGACTTGGCTCATCCAACCCACACCTGCCCCAAGGGCCAGGCAGGTGGGTGAGCAGCAAGTCAGTTTGTGCCCAAGTGTGGCCAAACTGTGGCCAAGTGGTCCAAGGATAGGCGCCATCTATAAACAGGAATCCTGGCCACTTTGGCCTTTAGTGCTGCGATGTGCAATTGAAGTTGAAACTCTCCTTCCCTCCTCCTCTGGGAGCCTTCAGACTGCAGCTCTGCACAGTCCTGAAGGGGAACCCCAGGCTACGCAGCAGGGGCTCCCTGCAGCAAGGCCAGGCTGTCAGGATCTAGCCTCCTGACTTCTGCCATCTTTCCCCTGCCCTCAAGGAAGTTACTTTTGAGAGTTGAGTGTCATCTTTAGGTCAGTTCCCAAGGCCTACCGGGATTCCCAAACAAGTATCAACCCAGAGCAGAGCTTCTTGTCAAATGAAAAGACCTTCTAACTCTGCCTCCATCCCACTTCAGCCCAAGACGGTCCAAAGTACCAAGCACCCATAGGAGAAAAGTGCCCCCCCCATCCAACTCCCAGACTAGACGAGCAGAGCAAGTTCCTTGGAAGGCCAAGTCCCACTCCACCGCGCCTCCTTGACTGAAATCCTAGATCTAACTGATACAGAAGGAATCTCGAAAGCCCTGGAGCTTATCCCTTGGTTCACAGGTGTGGAAACTGAGGCTGGGAGGGGTCATTCAAGGTCATTTGGCTTCAGTAGCAGAGGTGGGGCCAGAAGCCAAGCCTTTAGGATCTAGTCCAAGGTCTTCTCAGATTCTGCCCGTGTCTACCCAGTTGGTAGGAAACTAAAGCCTGCCCCCAGCCCCTAGGCCTGCACCAATGTCACTGATCCACCCCCTCAAGATCATCTTGTTCTTCATCTAGGGACAATGCTGCCCATCCAACTGACCCCTCCCTCCCCCCACAGCACAAGCACGCGTTGTCCTGTGTGCACAGGGTCACGGGCAAGGAATGTCACTCTCCAGCTCCCAGGGTCCTTGACAGTCACACCCTCTGTGCAAGAGCAGCCTTGAGGACGGGCACACCGACACCAGAACATTCACCTAGCCCAAGACACTTCTAGAAGTCTCTCTTGCTAGGTCAGCATAAGGGGTGCTGTAATCCCCAAATGGGGCTTGGGGTGCTGTCCAGAGCAGGAAACCCCATCACATAGGTGCTCCACAGCCAGCCTGTTAACCCCAAAGCCAGCTTTAGGTCTGCAGCACCCTCTTACCACCAGACCCACAATCTTGCGGACTTGCAGGTAACACCTCTTGACTGCCCAAGCAGACTCAAATTCTTAAGTGACACAGGGACTAGGCCATATACATGCCACACACTCAAGAGTAGATTGGTTACTGATCCTACACTCTTAGTTTCTGTCTCTCCCGTAGAACACGGTCAAGACTGGTACATGCACTGTACTTTTAGGGTTCAATGCTTGGGTCCTATACATCGTCATGGCCACACACACAATCTCATAAACTCTGGGCATTTAGAGGTAGAAACACCCGCATATCTCATCCAACCTCCCTTTCCTGCACATTCCAGGAGTCACACACACTCTCTGACCCCAAGCTACAACACTAAGTCCCTTGGTCCCATACCAATGATCCCCTGACATCAAGCCTTGGCCCCTCGGCTCCTGGCGTAAGTCTCAGGGCCCACCATCCCCAAATGATTCACATTTTGCACTGCACTCGGCCCGGGCACGCCCCCCATCCACACTCGGCAGGCCTGGACCCACCCCCCAAACCTCCTCAAACCCCCTCCCCGTTTTGCCCCCTCCCCCACTCACTCTGGCCCTCAAACTTGCGGATGATGGTGTCGAGGAAGGTGTTCTGCGGCGCGACGTGGCCCCTCCGCACCGGCATCCTGAGCCCATGGGCGGGCCGGGCGGGCCCCCACCCACCCTGGCCCGGCCCGGCCCAGCACTAGGCTTCGGGTGGCCTGGCCGGGCCGTGGTCTCCGCACCCCGCTGCCAAGCTGAGTGCGGGCGGGGCCGGAACTGGACTGAGGGCGCGGGGTCCTCGGCTAGCGGCTGCCGGCTCCGGACCGCGGGCCGGGCCTGAAGCGGCTGGAGCTGCGGCGCCGGCACACCTGTCTGTCGACCCGGGCCGGCGGTGCCACGGGCCCCGCTCCGCCTCGTCCCCGCGCTGCGCTCCGCCCGCCCGAGCGCCCGGCTCCCGGCTCGCGCCTGCCCGCCGCCGCCGCCGCGCCGACAGCCTTTCCAGCGCCCGCGGCTCGGGCAGCGCCTTCGGCTTGGTCCGGCGACTGGAGGGTTAATGCGGCGCGCGCCCCTCCGGCTCCGGCCCCCGCCTCCCGGCCCCCTCCTGCCGCCGCGCTCCGACAGCACCGCCCTCTCCCCGCCACCCCGAGCGCCCGCCCTTCTCATTGGCTGAGGCGCGCCGAGCGCTCCCCAGGCCCCAACCCCTCGCTCTGCTACCGAGCCCCCGGGACTCGCGCTCCACCGAGAGGGGGGAAGGGTCCCTTAGGGGAACCGTGAGGACAGGTGCGACGGCCGGTTTTGGAGGTGGCCAGGGAGAGGGTCCTGGGGATACCGCCCCCCTCCCAGACTCGGGACTGAGAAACCTGATTTGATGGGACGGGGCCAACCTTTATCCCCTGCTTCCCTACTACACCTAGGACAGGCTGAGTACACACAGCTTACTCTCAGAATCTGCTGTGGGTGACTTGGCTGAGTGAGGCCTAGACTCTGAGAAGATGGGCTCCAGGACCAGGGGAGACCCGGGAAATGGGAAGAACAGGGAATGTGGACGCTGTAAATTTTTGAGATTAGGGTGGGTGAGCCGGAGGAGAGGCACAGACTCCCCGATCACCCCGATCGTGAACATACAACGGACAAGGCCGTCTCGGGGGTTATTCGAATCTCTTCACGGGTGGCGCGCACAGAGGGACACTGACACGAGTTGCGGCCTCCTAGCTGAGAGATCAAAGAAAGGTTTCTGAGAGCGAGGTCCCAGCCAAGGGATCCCCGTGTGCTAGAGGCCTGTCCTCCCTCTGTAGAGCGGGACCAATCTCGTAGGCCCAATAGGAGGGCTTGGGGCCCTGAGCTGGCCGGGGCGGCCCAGCCCCTCGGAAAACCCTGGCCTACCCGCAGGCCCCTCCCCCTGCCAGCTGGCTCTCTCCAGCTGCAGCTCCCTTATTTAGGCAAGGAGGTCTGAGGATGCTCAAGGGCAGGCAGGGTGTCTGCCCGCCGCCTGCCCACTGCCTGCCCATCGCCTGCTGGGGCCTGAGTAGGGGTCTTTGGCGGCCAAGGTGTCCTTGGTTTGAGCAGCTAAGCAACGCTTGGGGCAGGGCAAGGCCGAGAGGCGAGTGTTGACAGCTGAGCAGGCCTGCGGTAGGGAGGAGCCGGCAGCTGGAGTTGAGGAGGCCTTGAATCCCCTCCCCTGCCTGCAACCCGGATCAGAGGCCTGTCTAGATGGATGGGGCCATGTGGGGGCTCCTGAGGGCTTGCAGCTGCCTCTGCCCTTGGAGCAAGGGGCTGGGTCTTGTCACCAGCGAGAACCGTCATGGGATATAGGGGGGAAGGGAAGAACAAAGGATGAAGACAGAAACCGGCTGGAAAGAGGGAGGCCAGGCAAAGAAAGGTCACCATGAGACCACCCCAGCCAGGCTCTCACCTTCCATCCAGGAGTAAAAACCTTCACACTCTAAGGCCACACAGGGCCACTGGCCAGGAGATAACACTCTTTTTTATTTGCTAGTGGGTGGGCAGTGACTCAGGGAGGCAGCCGGTGGGAGAGAAGGAGGTGGCTTCCACCAGCTGATGCTAAAAACGTCCAGAGGCTCCTGCCTGCACAGTCATCCCTCAGACCCTTCCCACCTCCAGCAGCTTCCTCCCTCACACCCAGGATGCCCAGGGCCTTCCCCAACTTGTAACTTGGCATCAGAGGCATCAGCACACATCTAGCTGATGGTCTAGCTCTTCACACACACACACATGCACGCACACACGGCCTATGTGAGTGGGGGGGGGGTCCTCCTTTCCAAGCCTGGGTGGGGACTGAAAGTGAGAAGAGGCTGGAAATAGATGGAGAGGAAGGTGCAAGGAAGAAGCTTCTGCAGCCCCTTCCTTCCAGACCAAGCTTCAGGAGAGCCGGGCTCCAAAAGGAAGGGGATCCTCATCTGACCTGGCCATTCTTATGACAGGGAGCTGCTTGCCAAGAAAGTCTTTGGGGCTTATCCCAGAGGGAAGACACAGGAGTCACTGGGACCCTTTAACATGTCAATAAGAGGGGACCAGACACTAAGTAGCTTTCCTAAGACTGAGCTGCTTCTTCAGGCTAAAGAAAGCCAAATGTGTCTTTCTCTCCCCCCACATATACACAATACACACACACCACCACCACCAAGCAACACACAGAGAAAGGTGTGTGTCAAAGCCAATTGCAGATTTTTAACTTCCTAGGAAGCTCAGGGGGTGCCTAAGGCAGGCCCACAGAGCCACCCCCAGTCAGGGATAGAGATGAGGATGGAGAAACCCTGAGCTAGACATGCTTTCCTCAAGGCATCAGTTCTGGAGTCGCTGGTACCAGGCATTAAGAGACCCACCTCATACTTAGTCCCTCTGGTCCATATGCATCCACCTCCCACTTCCAGATGCCAACAAACCTAATACCCAGAACATCTACACTCTGCCCCACCGCCAAGGGTCATTCCTGGGAGGAGCCCTCCCCCACCCTGCCTGTGACTGAGGGAAGGGAGAGGCTGTATTTAGAGTGAGACACATGTAGGCTCCACCCAGCTCCCAGAAAGAGACAGTTTAGGGAGAACATCCTACCACCCCACTCTCCACTCCTGCTCAGCCTGAGGGAGACAAGTGAGGATTTCCAGGGAAGGGAAAAGAGATGGAAGCTGCCTTTGCTGGTAGTCCCCCAAGGACCAGGCCAGGAGAGACAGCCAAATTCAGACCCAGGAGAAGAAGTGACGCCCACAGGGGACTGACTAGCAGTTGCAGTCGAACAAACATGAGAGAGACAGCTGACAGAGGATGGACTCTCTGGAAGCCCCAGGGAGGGGAAACAGCAACAGCAGCCCTTGCTATCAAGGGCAAACTTGAATTTGGGGGGAGGGGGGGCAATCAGGAACTTTTCTGTACAACTAGGTTCTCAGAATAGCGATGTTTTTGGGTGTGAGCTGCAGGAGACAAGCAAGGGCCAATGTGTCTTCCCCCCAGGAGCAGGTGCTTAGGGCCGACAGAGGAAGAAAAGTGAGAGAGGGAGAAGGGAGGATTGAATCAACACAGGAGGGATCCACCTCAACCCTACATCTGAAGCCAGGACTCCCTGAGTCACCGCCACCTGCGGTTCTGGTTCCCTATGAAGCAATTCTGCAAACCTGGCCCACTCCCAGGTCTTCTCCTACCAACCCAGTCTTACCTTTGAAGGCATGGGTTCCTGATTTGGTGGCATAGGAAGTGAGGAAAGTGGAGCCTGGGATTCAGGACACCTAGCTTCCGATTCTACTTCTGCTACCAGTCATGTCAACAAACATTTCCTAGGGACCTCCTGTCTTCTAGGCCTTGTGCCAGGTGCTGGGGGGTTGAGAAACAGAAGGGCTAAGCCAGTCTCCCTCCTCCAGGGATTCACAGTCTAGTGGTGTCTGAGAGAGGCGGTGGGCAGACTAAACTGGAGTCTGTAAGGAGTGTTGTGGGATTACAGGGAGGGGCCAGTTCATTTCCCCTGGAGGAGACAAGGAGGGTTTGGGGAGGGCAAGGGGCTTTGGAGCAAGTCCTTGAAGGCTGATGTGAGCGTGGAAGAAGTGTTGCAGATGGAAGGGATGTGAACTGAGGAATAGAGACTGGATCATGGGGATTGGGGTCGAGGGACAGAACAAATGTGGGGGCTGGCACCATGTACAGGGCTCTGACATTGCACTTTAGTCTGTATGCACTGAAGGGACTGTAGTGGTAGCTGAAATGCACACACTATGTCCCAACAGAGGTTTATTGACGTAATAAAAACATATAATAGTTTGGAAAAACTAAGGTAGATACAAGGAAACTCTACTAACTGCTGCTGCCTAATGGCCAGCCCCAAACCAAAGACAGCATTTGATTTTGCTCATGAACAGGTTCAGCCAAGACCAAATGACTTCAAACACTTAAGACTAGGAACCAGAGGCAACCAAGTTTGATGGTGGAGGCGGGCTGTCATCAGACCTCGGGTCAGGTTGAAATCCCATGAAGCCTTTCCGCGTGACTACCTTACTTCCTCTCAGCATAGCTGCAAGGTTGCAAGGACAAGTGTCTCAAGAAAGCAACAGCCAGTACCAAATGAACTGTAATGACTAAATTTTGTTTTTTTTTTTTTTTTTGGTTTTTCGAGACAGGGTTTCTCTGTGGTTTTGGAGCCTGTCCTGGAACTAGCTCTTGTAGACCAGGCTGGTCTCGAACTCACAGAGATCCGCCTGCCTCTGCCTCCCGAGTGCTGGGATTAAAGGCGTGCGCCACCACCGCCCGATGACTAAATTTTGAAAGTCCCACCAAACAACTCCTGCCATCGGTATGGCCCATCAAATAGAGGGAAGGAGCACAGACCCCAATTCTCAATGACAGCATGCCACTGCCAGGCAGGAAGAAAGGCATGTGCCACGGCACATAGTGGCATAACCACCTTGGAAAATGTAACGTGCCAAGTGAAGCTACACAATGGTCCCAGGGAGAGATGTGGAACAGGTCAGAACTGACGGCAAGGAGCCCATTGGTGTGCACTTTTAGAAGCGTCACTAAGTCTCACTTTCCCTACCTGTAAAATGAGACTGAATAAGCTGGTCTCTGGGACCCTTTCCAACTCTGGCTATGAGTGATTTTCTTAGTTCTACACAACCTACAGCCCTGGGTGGCTTTAAACTTACAACCACCCTGCAAGCCCCACTCCCAAACAAACCATCATTTCTCTTGGTAACCACCTCGCTGCACCTCTTGCCTCGACTCTCTTGTCCTGGAGCCAAAGGCTACTCCACAGACAACACCATGTGCCATGTATATAATTGTTTCAGATTGAAAGTAAGTGGAGGGGAAAACCTTTTAGGATAGGTGAGATGCCTCTGAGATACATCTGTCCCCCACCTTGCTAGGGGAATGTCACTGTGGGGTCTGCAACAAGCATACAGAGGGGGAGATGGGTCGTCATCTAACATGGGCATAGGTGTCATGAAGGAAGCTGGTGCTTCTGGCTATATATTCAGGAAAACAAGCTCAAAGTAGGGAGTGCTCTGGATGGATGGGCAGCCAAGAGGGCTTCCTGGAGAGCTGGGCCCTGCCACTTGGTGAGGATTCTCCTAGGCACACAGAAAGATGGTTGACAG